CATCCCTCCTCCCTAAGATAGACCAAATAAGGGGACAGAATCAACCGGAATCGAAGCAGACAAGATTCTCATTCAAAAGAAACATTCTACCATAACCRTAGTTAAAAAAACGGAACCATACAGTAGGTCCGCAAAACAAAATACCCCTAAACAAAGGGGGAAAGACAATAGGAAAAGATATGGGACAATAGGACAAGGACTATTTTCTACCATAGCCAAAGAAGAGCCTGCTAGTACAGGCCCGACGCTAGCCGCATCATCTACAATATATATGGTTTCTTCATATATCAAAATATGATATAGGAAAATCAAAATAAACAAAACTGCACCGAGTGAAAAATACAATAAATACAAAAAATACAAGAATTTGATTCATGATAGAGGAGAAATTCATAGAATCAAATAGAACTCGGCAGAAGGCCAGCGACAGCCCGCCTCTTAAGATACAGGCTCCATTACGACACTCGATCAACTCTAGACCGTAGTACTGAGCGTGACTGTGTGCCATGTGAAGACCATTATTTTATTTTCCCTTATAAAACGAGAGTTTCCTCAGAACGTACTCCAGCAGTAAACACGAAGAGAATGGCAGAGGAATGGAATGGAATGGAATGGAATGGAATGGAAGAGCGTGAGATTCTGCCGGCCCCCTTAACAAGGCGATGACTGCATATAACTAAAAGGTGGAGCGAGACACCTATCATCCAATCATAACACGCGCCACGCTTCAGGGGAAGAAGGTACTTAGCCGCGTCGGCTGTGGGAGAGAGCAAGGGGGACAGGATAAGCTGGCTGCTAACCACTCCATATAATAGGGAACCGCAAGCCTCCACAACAGCCCACAATACCCTGATGTATGATGGCTTCTGGAGATCTGATCTGAACACCCATATAACCTTGTGAATCCATATAATAGGGAACCGCAAGCCTCCACAACAGCCGACATCATCTGCGATAGGAAAAAACAAGCACTCGAGGTCGCACTGGAGTACAAATATGGAGAGAGAAGTGGGCAAGGAACACTATCATGTTGCAGTTTGACAATAAAACGACAGAGAATCGCCCGCTGTTACGTGACAGATTCAGGCATATAGCTAAGTGGGCATGAGTCGGTCAATTGTTTCGACGGAAAGGTACCGACCCACCAGGGTCTTGAACCTCGGGCATGGCGACACCGCCCCTCGGATGAGTGCAATTTCCCGGATGAAGGCACAGCGTACCTCCTGTATAAGAATGCATGTACGTAACACCACCAATTACGGGTAAAGTTTCAATTATGCATATATGTGCTCGGGCTTTTATTGTCCAACTCTTACTTGGCAGGTCATGTGAGAGGTCATATTTGTAACCGCTGTACTCGTCGACAGGTAAGGAGACATGCAGAGGTCAGTAGGCAGAGACACTAGTAATAACATAGGGAGGGAAACAAATAATGATAATAAATGGCTAGAAAATGAATATCGGTGGGTTGAAATTACGAAGGTGTGTAGATAGAATAAATAAATAAATAAATAAATAAATAAATAAATAAATAAATAAATAAAGGTTTGTACATAATGGAAACATAAGTACATAGATACGTGAAAATGCGCGGCCAAACGCGCGAGCGATTGAGAGAAGCGATAGATAGAGAGACGGAGGGCATCGGCTGGTGAAGGGGCAAAAGGGGCAGAAACGCAAGTGTGTGGTGAGGGGAGGGGAAGGGCGAGAGAGAGAGAGAGAGAGGCTGGGGGATGGAGGCGTTTCACGGGCGGTGGGAAGCGTGCGCCGTGAGAGGAGCAACGGAGATGGGTTCGTGAAGAGGGAAGAGGGGGAGAGAGATGGAAGTGTGGGGGCGAGGCAAGCGTGGCGTACTTCTCGCTCTCGTGGGTGAGTGAGAGAGAGAGGGGAGAGGGAGGAAGGGAAATAGACAGAGAGAGAGAGAGACGGTGGGGAATAGAGGCGATCCACGGGCGGTGGAAAGTGCACTGTCCTGAAAAGCTCGACTGCATGAACCTAAGGGCTTCCACGTCACCAGCGCGCACGCGCTCGAGAGATGGATAAACACAGAGAAATAGAGGGAGAGAGAAACTGCTCTCCTCACATCCTCGCCCAGAAAGCAAGAGAGAGACACAGAGAGAGAGAGTAAGCACGTTTCACGGGAGCTTCCACGTCACGAGCGCGCGCTCTAGAGAGATGGATATACACAGAGAAAGAGAGAGAGAGAGAGAGAGAGAAACTGCTTCCCTCACATCCTCGCACAGAAAGCAAGAGAGAGAGAGAGAGAGAGAGAGAGAGAGAGAGAGAGACAGAGACAGACAGACAGTAAATACGTTTCACCGGCAGTGCACCGGTGCATCCCCACTCTCCCATCCCCTTCAACTCTCCGTTCGCTTCGTCCACGCTTTCCGTCGACTGGACACTGCCTCCCCGACCTCCCGGGTGGGTTTGTGCACCTCCATGCAGCATACTGGCCACAGAGGCATGTTTCGTGTGATGAGTGGTGGTAATTTCAACTGACAAGGGGCGGAGAGGGCTCCAGGGGTAAAATCAATAAGCTCCGGGCGACATCAGATGGACAGACCGGATCGGGGTCAATTTTCCGGGCAGTCAAACATGTGGGAGGCACGTGGACGGCCGATCTTATAGCTGGAAGTTTCACGCGACTGTCACATGGGCCGGCAGTCGTAGTTCACGTGTCTAATTTAAACAGGGAAGGGTGCGCCACTGGCGCGCCGGAGGTAAAAGGGCAGGACAGCGTTTACTCCAAAGGATGATGGATTCGGCCGTCAGTCGAAAGAACGTCAACAATTTTTGAAAGATAGGAAATATGAAAGATCGTGCTTTCGTCTTGTTCGGGTTCGAGGACGGAAGATTGACTACATCGGGAAGGATAGAGAGAGAGAGAGAGAGAGTCGGGGGGCATTTTTGCTTCTCTCTCTCTCTCTCTCGCCCGCCCAACATGTAGCATAACCGGAGGTCACATATGGAGGCTACCTACCTATCATCATCACGCACATCCAGTGAATGAGCAAAACTACTTCGAAGGCACTATAACTCCAATAAGCATATATGGACAAGTGAGAAACATCATTATCATCATAATCATCATCCTGAATGGAACTCACCCTTCCCTTGCAGCCATCGTTCTTGCACTTCATGTACCCCTTCTTGCTGTCCTTCCTATCCTTGGATATTGTCTCGCCTCCGATCCCATTCGCCGCGGTCTCTGAGCCCAACCTGCAGTTGCACAAGCCATCCATTCATTCCAGTGGACGCCGACCGCCACATTACGGACCGGTCATCCTCCCGTCAGCAGCTGGGTTCGACAGTCACGCCATTCTCTCATTCTGCCTCCCTCCTCCCCACTCTCTCGCTCGTTCTCCCATTCTTCCCCATCAATCTCCATCTCGAAGCAGCAGTTTCGTCACAACCCCGTCTCTTCCAAACAAAATCCCTCCCGACTGGACAACCATTTCAAGTCGCACGCCGCTCCAACCCTCTCCCCCCCCCCCTTTCCATTCTCTCTCTCTCTCTCTCTCTCTCTCTCTCTCTCTCTCTCTCTCTCTCACTCTCTCTCTCTCTCTCTCTCTCTCTCTGTCTCTGTGTCTGTGTGTGTGTGTGTGTGCGCGCGCGCGTACGTGTCCCTGTTCTGCATTCAGCCTTCCAGTCTCCCTCCGCCTACCCCGTTCTCAATCCCGCCCGAAAAAGCATACTGCTTGCAAGGGTTCTTCGCCCTCCAGCGAACCTTTTCTTTTTTTTTTCCCCTCACATTTTTATGCCATCTTAATTCACCTCAGAAAAGACTACATGCCCATTCTTACAGCTATGCCCACAGTGTAGTGGCCAAGCAGAGAAATCACCCTCACTGCAGAAGGATAACGCTACAGGAAAGGCTAGGGAAGAGGGCGAGTCACAAAGGCTAGGGAACAGAGCGGGGAACGAAGGCAGAGCACGAACTGTGGAAAAAGCGCAAGACGAAGTAGAACGATGATCGCCGGAAAAGAAAAAGGGAGAGAAAGGCGGGGAAGCGCGCAAGACGAGGAAGAGTAACAGGAGAAGCTGGAGGTGGCAGAAAGCGCATGAAAACGAGGAACAGGACGACGAGGGCCATAAAGGGGAAACGGGGGATGACAAGAAAAAGGAGGTGCAGGAAGATGAAAGTGGACAACGGAGAAATGCAAGCGGGCCGCGTACCAAAAAGTAGAGAAGGCGGCGTATGGGGAGACAAAGAAGACAGGTAGAGAGGGCGTCCTTGGCGAAGGACGGTGGAAAGGAAAACAATAAACAGGAAACAGAAAATGAAAAGAGCACAAATGGGCTCGAGAAGGAAGTAAGAAAGTAAAAGGTAAGGAAAAGCAGAAGAAGTTCGGGGGAAGATTCAGGAATCAAAAGTCGAAAAGAGCGAGGACGACGTGACATGGAGGAACCCAGAAGGAAAATGAGCGGAGGAAAGGAAGAGGAGAGGGAGGGGAGAGGGGGTTGGGGGCGGGGGGGGGGGGGGGGGGGTTAAACCAACGGATGGACAAATGATAGGCAGAAAGAGAGATCCAGGGGCGGAGGGAAAGGAATAGAGGGAAAGGTGCCAGGGTGATGAAGAGCGAGGCGGCACAGCGAGGCAATAGATACAAAGAGGAAGGAAGAAATCTCCAGGACAAGGACCAAAAGCTGAAGGAGGAAAGGAAAAGCACGAAAAAAGAGGGAAACCAAGAGAAAGGGGGCATTGTAAATGAAGAAAAGGGACAGACAGATAGGAACAGAAAAAAGACACAATTGAGGAGGCGGCGAATGTGCGAGAGGGAGGAGGACGAGCACGAGGACAGGAGGAGTGGACAGAGATGAAACAACAAAGAGGATTGATTGAGAAACTTTTCAAGTAGAGACACAAGGGAACACAAGAGGAGGAAGCACACAAGAAGGATAGGGAGAAGAAAAGGAGAGGGAGTAAGGGAACGCACGCGCTCGATGAGTGCAGCAGGAGCGCGTGGTTTACAGATAGATAGACACAACACGGGGAAGAAACAAGGAGCTGAGAGGGGTAAGGCGCTCGATAAGGAACTTACCCTACAGATAGGATAGAACGGGGCCGATTGCGCATGCAGGCGTGTTGGTTTCCTACCACTTGGATACTGAGCTACCGTCTTCACCCGAATAGAACGCCCGGTCATTCAATCCATATTTGGCACACCTTTCAGCCCAGATACGGCGATGATTACCGGGCGTTCTATACGGGTGAAGACGGTAGATTTGATTAACTGCCTGACTGGTTGGGATGGGTGACTGACAACGTAACCTGCCTGTTACCCTGTGATACTCAGAGCCTTTCAATTTCATAGGAAGAGAATTCATTTATAGCACCGGGAGCCGTTCTTACGTGACACTACTTAGTTTTAAGATTCTCTTTCGTTCGATTGCATATTTGCTTGGTTTCGTTCGATTGCATATTTGCTTGGTCGAGCTGTCTGAGTTTGGCAGCGAACCACACCCACAACGGTGAGATGCCGTTGCTTTGATGATTAAAAAATCCCTGTTTTTCCCCCGCTAATTCCCCGTTTTTTTCTCGCCATGTACTCGACAGTTTCCTGATGAGTGCATGCACTAGCAATCTAGGACTTGGTACTCAATACCAGGGGGTATCAACCTACACCCGTTCAATGGATGATTTAGTTGCAGGTGTTTTTTAACAATGTGCATGGATACGATACGATACGATAGGACCCGGTGGCTTTTGCAAAGCTGTGGCACATCATCCGAGTTACGTTCTTTCCCTCGAGAAATTCAGTGGAGTGGAACACAGGACAATAAAGATTACTGTATTATTGTGTAGAGGTGGGAAGAGGGGGTGGGGTGCAAGAGAAAGGGGTCGGTGGGGGGAGGACCAAGCGGGGGAGGCGAAGGCGGCAGAGAAAGAACACCAAGGCAGAGGGCGGAGGTTAGCTCCAGACAGACTGGGTGGCTTTTTCTAGGAAGGAAAAGGGCGCCGGAATGGATAGACCAGCGACTCGCAGGGAGGTAGCAATCCACGGTAACTGGAGGGGAAACAGACAGTGGGCTTGGGAGAGAGAGAGAGAGAGGAAGAGGAGGAGGAGGGAGGAGGAGGAGGAAAAGTGAGAGAGGAGGGGGGGGAGAGGTGGATGCGGAGAAGAAGAGAAGAGAAGAGAAGAGAACCGCCAGCTCATTTCAGACCTGTTGTCGTCTTTCGACGCGCCAGTCTGCAGGTTAGGCGTGGAGACCTCTCCATTTCTGATAAAGCCGCCGACCTCCGCATCCAAGTTCCCACCGTCAAATAAGTCAAAGGCGCCAAAACCGGAATCTGCAGTTCATCACCGTCAGCACATGCCTTCGCTTGTTAAAGACGACGTATCCGCGCCCGTGTCAATCCATCGAGCGAGACTTTGACATTTCCTTTTCTTTCATTTGATATCCACAAAAAGGACCAAAAGAGGAGAGGAGCAGGGACGGACGGACGGATAGAGCGAGAGGGGGGGAGTGTAAAGGCGGGCCACGACAACAGGGATCGAAGACGGGGAAAGGGGAGGTGGTAGTGGACACACACACGAGGGGCATATCTGGAACGACCGGAGACGCGTAGAGAGGAGGAGAGCAAAAGAATAGTCGATGCGCGACGTCCAGCGAGAGGATAGACGGCGAGCGTGAGAGGGAGCGCGACAGAGAGGCGACGGTGGAGGGAGAGGAAAGGGAGGAGAAGACTTTCTTTTGTTCAAGGTGAGATAACTACTCGTCCTAATTGAACAGTCGCTCGCTCCCACTCGGCGGCAAGAGGCGGAAAAGCCACCCAACCCATACCGCCACTCTTTGCTACGGTAGCAGCGCCAGAGGAGTGGACTTGGACGAGGCACGGGATCTCGAATGGAGGATTGAAGGAAGGGAATGGAGTTGGATTGGGTGAATTGGGTGAATTGGGTGAAGTGGGTGAAGTGGGTGAAGTGGGTGAAATGGAGACGATAACCAGCGGGGAATGGACAGGAAGCGAGGGAGGAAGGGGGGGGGGGGGAGCAGGAGAAGGTGCACACATACACGGGAACGAAGTCAAGCCATTCACGTGGACAAGATGCAGTGCGGATACGTATGCGAATCACCTGGAAGAAGCGATGGCGTGCCTTCCGGCGTGGATGCTATGCTGCAATCAAAGCACACGCCAAACAAGCACAGAGCCACGTCAGCAACTTCAACTAGGGGAACTCACACTTGTTCTCCCGTGCAGGTCAAGGAGGAGAGGACTCCACGCATCCTTTCACGAGAGGCGCTATCGTCCTCCCTTCCTCGCCATCGACCCGTTTGTTTACAAATTACTCGCCTGCCTTTCCCAGTCAACGAGCCCCCGCTAATATTTACCGAATTGTTTCTGAGATTTATCACGAACGGAACTCATAGCAGGCAGCGGGCATGCTTGTGCGAGAAGTACATGCTGAGCTCGCCCCGCGGACGTTCACTCCCATCGCAAATACCCCCCTCTGCACCCCCACCTCCCTCCCACCGCCGGATTCCTGTCCCTGTCATGCCCTTGGCCACCCAAACGCCCTCTCACACCCCACACCAGATTTGACGAAGCCACTCCTCGCAACCCCCCGGCCCGCCCACCCGACCCCTTTCCACCGCCCAACCCCCCCGGGCATCACTTTCCTTCATCTCTGACATCCAGGAAGGATACCCCTTCCGCCCACGTGGCCGCCGCGATGATCATCGATGCCTAGAGCCGCCCCTGCTTAGCAGAACAGCAGGAAAGGGGCAGAGAACGCCGAGGCCACGGCAGAGAGCACCGCAAAAACCCTAACCGAAAGCACGCGCCCACGCACCATTCCTTCGGCCCGGAATATGTACACGCGAAACGGTGAGTGTGCTCCGGCGTCAAGGAGCGTACCTTCCGTCCTGCCGATCAAGCAGAGTGAAATCGATGCCCTGATATACGTCCTGTCCCAGATATGGATCCCCCTCATAGGACTCCATATTCGCAACTGGAGTCCAGACGCGCTCAGGCACAGACCGCTACATTTTGCCGGCTGACAGGTCGGCCCGCCACCTGCAGCTGCGTCTTCCCCTCTCGCCCCGGCCAGCGCCGACAAAGACCGGCATATCCGCCGACGCCGTCGTGGTCTAACAACACCGAGAAATACTGTAATATAATGAAAAACAACAACTATGCCGTGAAGAGTTGCCCAGCGATGAACGAAGGATGATGAAGCTCTAGATACGGCCAACCCACCATCATCGGCCCTCCTGCATCCCTCCTAACGAGCCTTGCCTACCTGCCTGCCTGCCTGCCTCGACTTCTCTAAGGAGCTGTGTAAGGATATCAGTCCTCTCTCTCCCTCTCTTCTCGTCCCACCTCGTCCCACCTGTTTTCGCCTTGTGCGCTTCCATCCCCCTCCGTTCGGAAACGCAGGCGGACCTCTCTCTCTCTCTCTCTCTCTCTCTCTCTCTCACACACACACACATGCACACGTCACGGTGTAGCCACCACTTCCTCGCACCCGCAGCCGATGATGGGCCTCCCTCGACAACTCACCCTTCCGCAAAAGAAATGGAGAGCATTCAGCAAACGAAATTTTCCGTCAGAAATCGGATTTCCCAACGCACCACTCGCCTGTGCTCTACAGTGTTCAAGCCACGATTTCGGGGCTTGCAGTTCCAAAGCAAAAGAGTGCAGGGAAGGGGAAAATGAAGTGCACTGCAGCCCCATGGCTGAGGGCCGACTCACGCTTGCTCTTTCACACTGGCCGCATGCAAGCCTTACACAGAAAGGTGCTGGGTTCAAGCCCAGCGGAGGCCATACATGCCAACCCCGTGCACAATAGAACATGTGTGAAGCCACAAAATTGGGATCTGGGATAATTGGCCACCCGCGTAAAAACCTTTGGTTTTTCACACCTACCGAAAAATGAATCTGGTGTAAATACAACGCCAGGTTCATAATCCAGTCGGAAGAGGCCAGGCGGTAGGGACCCAATCTCAGCCGCCAGATTTTACATCCAACGGCCTGTAATGCCCGTGGCCCCTTCGTGCCAAGTGGAAAAGTTTGGACGTGAAAAACCAAAAAGGTTTTGGCATGGTCCATATCTACCATTTTCCTCAAATTTTATTTAAAATTTTGACAATAACTCGTAAAATACCCGAGACAGGAGAGTGGAGTAAAAGTTTTGGCTGGCATTGCCAACCATTTTGATTCAGTTGCCCCAAGCCCCTAATTTTTTTGAAGAACCTCAATCGTGATCCTCAACTTGGTTGAGGTCGTGTACTGGTGGTTTAAACCACCACTGCCCTCGACAACAAAATTTCAGTTTTCCTGAACCTACGGATCAGGTTTTACGTGGTGCGGCGACCGGCAAGCACAGACGGGTCAAGTCCTGTAATTTTCAAGCGTCGGCATTGGCAATTTTTCACGCTTATAAAAATTTACACAAAAAATTAAAAATTTATAGATTTTTTTTTTAACTTTCTAATTTAAAAAATCAAAAAATCAAAATCATAAAATACATGCATTATTGTATTCTTCATTTTTTTTATTCTACCATATATGGGCAAGTGAAAAATGAACCAAAATTCCTTCATTTTTACGCTTATAAAAATGTATAAAAGACTTCAAGATTAGAGGGTTCGTCAATTTTGGTTATAATATTTCAATAAAAATATTTATGTATATATAAAAATGGACTGTGAAATAAATGTTGCACCGATTGGTCTCATTTTTCATTTTTATTATTCTACAACGTGTAAGCCAGCGGGAAAATACTAAAACTTTCGCAATTTTTCATGTTGAAAAAATACGTCGATAAATCAAAATATTTGAGGATTCATAATTTTATTTTGATATTAAAAAATATATAATAAGAAATATATTTTAATCGCGAAATAAATCATTGCGATAATTTTATGTAATATTTATTTTTGCCACTTTACCGATCCTCCTCGCTGTACTACCCATAATATACATGAACTTATGCTATTGGTTCCCCCGAATGTAATACAACGAAGGTAGTGGTGGTTTTAACTACTACTCTACCCGACACTGAAAAAATGACCTCCTTATGCATCTAGACGGGGGACACTAGTGCGGGTGTTTGCACGTGGCAACTTTGGCGATTTTTCACGCACGAACATATTCACATAAATTTTTGAAGAATCGTATAGTAGGTTGTCATTTTTTTAGAAAAAATATAAGGAAAAAAAAAACATTTATTATAAAATAATCGTCGCATTGATTCGGCGCATGTCCATTTTTGTCAATCTACCATGTGTAGATTGACAAAAGTGTTTCAACTTTAGTGATTTTTTCCGATCACAATAATAAGTGAAAACATCTAATCATCACTCCCCCAACGACTTATATTCAGTTTTTTTGCCCATACGGACCGGGTATTTAAGAGGAGTGGCGACCGATAGGCACAAGCGGGTCTACTCGCAATTTTCAAGTATCAACTTTGACAATTTTTCATGCTCAAATAAAAAAGAAAAATATCAGAAATAAAATAAATTGAGATGGAAAAAAAAATATTGCGGCGATTTGTTGCATTTTCCATTTTTGTCACTTGACCACGTGTGGCCCAACAAAAAACAGTACCCCGAATTCTATGATTTTTTGCGCTCATAATAATTAATCCAAAGCTCTAAAAATTGAATGGTTTGTAAATTTGACCTTTATAAGTCTATAAATATATATATATATAGGGTAACCGGCGTTCGGGACGGGCCGAACACCCGAACCCGAATGCCCGAACATATGGGACCCCTTGGGGATGCGTTCGGCCGTTCGTGCCAAACGCGGCCCCCCCCCCAAAAAAAAAAAAACAAAAAAAAATCATCAAAAAAATCTAAAAAAAAAGATATGTGATGGAGAAAAATAAATTAAACAAGATTTGCCTGATCATTACATCCGAATTCCTTACCAAATTTGAAATAAAAATAAAATACGAAAAATAAATACTAATAATATAAATAAATAAAAATAAAAAAAATTAAATTTAGTGAGTGCGCGAGCATGTTTTCGACACCGCCATCTTTGGCAATTTTTCATTTTTTTTGGGCATAACTAAATTCCCTGAAAATTTACAGATGTGTACTTCATATAATACAAAACCCACTAAAAAAGTTTCAAAAAATAATAAAATTGTTTAGACCCCGAACTAAAGTGAAAACAAAAAGTAAAAAGTGAAAAAATACGTGGGCGAGCACGTTTTGACACCGCCATTTTTGGAGATTTTTAATTCTTATTTGGCGTATCCAAATGACTTGAAAATTTACAGGCATGTACCTCACGTCATAAAGAATTCACAAAAAATAAATCAGAAAAAAATAATTATTCTTAGACCCCTAAATATTTTTTGGCGGGGGCCAAACGGCGTCGGGTTCGGACCCCGTACGGGACCCCGAACGCCCGTACGTACGGAGGTCTGCCCGGGGACCTCCGTACGTACGGGCTGGTGACCCTGTATATATATATATTTCGACCGCGAAATAAATCATGGCGACAGCTCGATGTATTAGCTATTTTTGCCATTCGGTCGAGTTTTCCCACAGTGATACCGGTGTCGAGCGTATAGGCACCCTCCTGCCCACGTCACTCAGGATTTGTGCAAGATTTTTTTGCAAATAAAGTTTTCGTCGTTCCAGTCGAGTGCGTGGGCCGCACCTCTCGTGAACCCCTACAACAGGATACGAGTCACGAAAGGCATAACTTACCTTTGTTCAAGGGACTGTCACCACATTTGGACAGATGTATCCCTGTCGAGCTACCAAACCACGTGTGAAAGTTACTCGAGTATAATCACAGACGTGACTCAGCCGCGGGCGTTTCTCGTTCTCTCTAGCATTGGGGGTACAAGCGATTGAACGCCTTAACCGGACTCGTACTAGAGTCAACGCTCTGAGGTTGATCTCCCAAGCGCGACTCTTCGTCGGTCGACTAGGACGATCCATGTAACCATGTGATACACTTCACAAAAATAAATCAAACTTCATACATAAATCGTGCATAGTTTTTTTTTTGCATCCGACCCATAACTTTTTGGCAACTGAAATAGACGGCATAGCGTGCGGGACTTCGAATAAATGTCGCGGCGATGTATGCCTTGTCATGTCGACCTGTCATGCATGGTTATACAAGCAGACGCGAGGATGACGCACTATGTGGAAACCATGACCACAGGATCCTCAATAATTTTGAGGGTTGCATTCGACACTCAAGTGTCGCCTGTCATGCATCTTAAGAGGTTAATGCCCCGGCACTAGGCAATTGCAAAAAGCGATTGCGAGTCTTACCTTCTTCTGCACACGGCGGAGAGGAGTGGTAGGCTGACTTTGACCTTTAGTGGCGGTCAAACGCTTCCAATTCTGGGAATGGGGCTTTATCTTTAGAGGCCTGGAAACAGGTCAATGGGTTTGATTGTAACAACCACCACGGACCTCAACGTCCAACCATAAAATTTTTAAAAAGCATAAATAAAAGAGGATCTCCATTTTTTATACAAATTTTCTCAAATCTTACGCATGATCAATATAAACCGTGAGAATACACAAAATATAAATATAATGGGGTTATAGGACACGAAGCAATCACATTGTACCCCTCTTTCAAATATACTCATGATGACAAGCAAAGCCATATATGAACTGCAACTCACAAAACATACATGCAATCACATCAAAGATTCAACATCGACAGACCACACACTGCACGGGGTCAACTTCAACCACTCTCTAGACTCATACTCCTTGCCTTATTCACACAAACCTCAACCTTTGTTAAACCTTTCAAAAGAAAACACTCAGTTATTTTGAAATGGTCATTTAATAAAAGTTTGGGTAAAAACCCAAAGAAATGAATTAAACCCATATTGACTAAGGTCTTACGTTGAATAGAGACAATGAGTTAGAGTTGAGTCGGAAACTGACCTGTTATCAAAAAATAATAGAAAACAATCCTTGTAGGATATGGCTGAAACTAGTCAAATTTTGAATCGAAGTAACCAAAGAGGGCCTGTAACAGAACACATGTCAGTTTCCAAAGCTAACTTTAAGTGAATGGAGAATAAACCCTCATACTACGTATCACTCAATTTTTTTACAAAATTGAGT